CTTGAGAATCATCTTTACAACCTGACGATCGCAAAACGCCAAACCATACAACCTGCTTGCTGGAATCCACAGCCCTCCGTACGCCTGCAGGCGGAGTATTTAGGGTTAAAGACCTCAAAATTCAGAGTTTCGCCCTGTATTCACTGCTGGCAGTTTACGGCTTCAGGCCTACCTGGGTGGCGAGGAGAATCTGCTGCTTCTTGGAAGCAAAAGGTTCCCAGACTTGCTGCTCCCTCATATCGTTCGTCCCCTGCACAACGGACCCCCCAAAAGAGCATCGGGTTTGCGGATTAGAGTAAGGTATTGCTTGTAGTGCAGAACAGTAGGACCACCTGCAGTCCCAATACCTTTGCTACCATACGAGGTGAGAGGAGTTGGCAGATGCACTGTGAAATGCAAGTCAGCATGCTGGGTCATCTGAAGTATACAGAAGTACGGGATTTGATGTGAAACGCATAGAAGCAATACGGGGCGTCATCTGAATATAGATGAGCCATATGTAATATATGGAGCGTTATGGGCAACAGCTACGTCATCTGAAGTCTACAGAAATACTTGGCGTACGGTTTGCATGCAGTCGATGCCGTAGTACGGGCAGTTCGTTTGCTGTTGTAGCGCCTTAATGCGTTGCACCTCATGAATTGGGCTGAGTCCGGAGTTTGCTGCGAGCGCTTCGGCAAGCCCGAGCAGTGCATCGGCAAACGCGCGTGCAGCATATTGACCAACTGAAGAAACTGAATCCGCTTGACTCTCCACCGCTCGCGCTGCAGCAATTTCTGCCGCACCCCCGCCAGCTACTACCCTTCCATCGCGCACCAATGCACTGACAACGCACAAAGCGTCGTGCACCGAACGCTCTGCCTCGGCCACCAGCATCTGGGTACCCCCGTACAAAACCATTGTCACTGCACGCGAGTTGCTGCAACCTGAAAAACAGCAAAACACAAACACACTCGCAGGCCGGGCTACATCGACGGAGTCTTCAAAAAATACAACTACAACGAAACGCAGAACACAGAACGGCCACCAGACCCTCCGCCAACCGCCATCACCGCCACCACCACCACAGCAACAGCAGTGGGAGCATCAAGCGGCGATCGCACCTTGAATGACGATCATTTTGTCTCCCATTGTGCCTGAGGGGACCTCCCGGATGCACCCAGCTTTCCCCAGTTTACTGGCGCTGAGTTCTTGCGCTCGGGGGACGATCCTGCCTTCGGTTGCAATCGCCAGCATTTCAATTTCCACCCCCCCAACCCAACGCACCGCCGGAATGTCCGCAGCCAACAACAAATGGTTCGCCTCGTCGTCGAAGCCCCATTGACACACCACCTGTCCCCGAAGAGCATATGCACGCAGAAACACAGAAACACACACACACACACGTACAGATTCATGTATGTATGTACATATGTGTGCATACACACGTACATACAGGGGTGGGGTGGGACAGGGAAGGAATGGAGAAATGTGCCAAGTACTGACAAAGTTTGCTCCAGCCTTCTTAACTTGCTCAATCATGTCTTTGAAATAATTCTGTTCGGCAGCCTGCAGCTTCTTGTAGTCTGCAGCATTGGTGATGTCGAGTTTGTGTTTTGTCTTCGGCTTCGGGGGTTCAAAGGGGCATGTCAAGATGGCGATCTTTGCGTCTTTTGTCTCCTTGCGCATCTGCGAATGGCTCAAATCCTTGTGCAGCACAATACCCCGCACCAACGTCGACTGCTCCAACAGACCGCCTGCACGGCCGTCCAGCTGCGCGCAAACCTCAAACCCACGATACACAACAAAACCTCGACAAACAACAGACCCTCTACAAACCCCAAGCCCTCAACAAACAACAAATCCTCGACCCCAATCCCTAAACCCCCAATCATAAAGTTTGTAGTCGTGAAAACACATATGTCAACCCTTGAAAATATCTCAAAATTAACGCTTCGTTTGCAAAAGGCCGACAGGTGTACATACACTTCACAAGAGCTCTGGACTCGACGTAACGCGGGATCCGTCAGAACACAACTGTGCGGGAAAAAGCAAATGTGCTAGGTCTTCAAAGTTGGTGGTTCCAGTTACCTTTATCATGTCTAAATTCACGTCTTTCCTCTCCTTGTCCGCAACCGCCAGCACTGCCTGCACGCAGAGATCTGCCAACTTCTCCTTGCAGCTGCTCACGACTTTCGAGCCCAGCGCAGTCTTGGCAGTCTGACGCCTGAATAACCCAGTAATGCAGTTACACGTAACACGTACGCCTCGATGAAGTTGATTAGCCAGGTAAACGCCGCATAAGCGTTCACAGACCCTGATCAGCTGGGCATATGCCCGAACTATGCGCATCCCGTACACCGTGGAGGAACAAGCATATTCAAAGCGGTAGCTACTGTCCATGCATCCCCAAAATGCATGCATGCAGCTCAATCTATATTCCGGCATAAGTACAATGTACTGATGTGTAGTTGCATCTTGCTATTTGTCTGTGCAGTGAAGTGGCAGCCCGTCAGTATGCACGTCTCTCGCTATTCACCATGTTAAAGCGTATTGTGGAGGAAGAAAAGCATTATATGTGAACATGACGGCCTAACCTTAAACTCTATGTATGCCCTAGAGGTGGAGAGGTGCACAACACTAGGGCTGCTCTAAGCACCTCACACACACCGGTGGAACAATTGGCATCAACAAAGGCAGTTGTAGAAGCAAGAAAACAAAACAACAGAAGAGAGAAACAACGAAGCAACAAAGCGACAAGGCAACGCCCACAGACACCAAAACCATTGAGTTGTGTACAAAAGCAGGCTACAGGATTAATCCCTTCCCAGCACCTTTTGTACTTTTGTGTACAAAAGCAGGCTACAGGATTAATCCCTTCCCAGCACGTACAAAAGATCCTGATCTGCACCCAAGACGTCTTTTTCTATCGCCGCTTCTTCCAAACATTGCACAGCAATTTGAGCAGCAGCCTCAAAACCGTCCGCAACACGGAGGGGATGAAGCCCTTTGTCAATCAGACGAAGCGCCTCCGCAAGCAGATTCCCTGAAAAACCAAAAAGAAACGTCAACAAATGAACAAAATGATCCGGCAAATACACCAACTAATCCGCACAATGAATCAAGTATTTCACTAAAATGCATAACCAAGTGCCTGAAATCCATCAGCTAGTTCACGATGCACGATAACCCATTCATGAAATCCATCGACTAATTCATCAAATGCACCGCCTAAGCTATGCATCAACTGATTTAAGAAATGCACTAACAAATCCATAAAATCCACCAATTAGTTCGCGAAATACATACACCAGTTCGACAAATTCATGAAATGCATCATGCATTATTTGATGGATTTTATGAACCGGTTGGATTCAACGTAACAGTTGGTGCAGTTCATGAGCAATTTGAAAACCATCGACTAATGCACAAAATACACCAACTAGTTCATGCAACTCATCAACGTTCAGGTGTGCAGCTTCTCAACGCAGACCCCGACCCCCCCACATAAATCCAATCCTAAACCCTCCCCGCCCACCTGCCAGGATGACAACGCCGGTTGTTCCGTCGCCGATTTCTGCATCTTGAGATCTTGACANCCCCGCCCACCTGCCAGGATGACAACGCCGGTTGTTCCGTCGCCGATTTCTGCATCTTGAGATCTTGACAAATCCACCAACAGCTTGGCGCACTGGTGTTTTATCTGCATCGCCAAACTCAACATCCTCAACCCTAGACTGCAGCAGTGCACGGGCCAGATAGCCTCTGGCTTCTGGTGGCCCAGTGCACGCAGCGAATACAGGTTTGAAGAGTGCCCCCAGGGACTTTGGCTTTGTCGAGGGCTTTGGGGTTGCCTATGCGGCTTTGCACTGTGCACGTCTTCTCTGTTCACGAGGGTTTGGGGTTTGCAGGTTTTCGAGTATCGCGTGTCTAGAACGTGGATGACGGTTTCTCGTTTGCGTCTAGGAGCTTAACATTTGCTTCTGATGGTGCACTGGTTCACGGCTTGCAAGTGCGGAGGTGGGAATATTGGTTTGCTCATGAGTGCATTGGGTTTCCTGGTGTCTGACCTGCATCCTATCTAGAATTGTTGCTCCATCGTTTGTAACAGTAATGTCGCCATCAGGGCCAACAATAATTTTGTCCATTCCTTTGGGGCCCAAAGAAGAACGCAGCGAATCGGCTACCGCTTTTGCAGCCGTTATGTTCGCCTGCACGCATACCCCAAGTCCCGTTTCCCAGACACTTAACCGGAAGCCGCAGGCCCTNCCGTTATGTTCGCCTGCACGCATACCCCAAGTCCCGTTTCCCAGACACTTAACCGGAAGCCGCAGGCCCTTAACCTGAAACCATAGGAGCCCAACGCGAACAGTTATACCGTTGCCTTCACACCGAACTACGAACAGCCAAACCTTGCATAATGCTGTGTGCGGCGGTGTCTGTTCAGTGGAAACCCTAATCCCGGAACCCTAGACCCAAAACCCGTGCCTTGTGGGCTTCAATTCCTTTGACGCGTTTCTTCTCCTCCTGCTCCCGCAGGATTATGAAGGGGTTCCCGAATTCGTCGGTGGCGATGTTCATTTTTCCTGCAGTGAAAAGAGACACGCAAACCCTAAAACCTAAATACCCAACCCTAACCCACAGCAGTGGGGAAAGCGCCAGGATGTGCAGCTCTCTCCATATGTTGTTACAGCTCCGAGCCCGGCTCTAGTCGCAACGTCTCGTCTGCAGAAAACCTTAACGCCTAAACCCTATATCTCAAGAAGCTGCAACGCATGCAGTGTCGTGNGTCTCGTCTGCAGAAAACCTTAACGCCTAAACCCTATATCTCAAGAAGCTGCAACGCATGCAGTGTCGTGGTGGTGGCCACATGAGAGGGAGCGTGGGGAGGGCTGGGGTTACGCGAAGGGAAAAGGCTTAGGGCTTAGAGCTTAGGGTTTTGCCTGCAGTGTTGAGGGTTTCATGGGAGGGGAAGGAAAGACAGACGCAGCAGAGGGGTCAGCAGAAGCCGAAGTGCACAGCCCAATAAGCACAAACCTCCGATTCGATGAAGCGAGTTGCAGTCTACGTACAGCTGAAACGCTTCAAATGGAATGAAACCAGCTACAAACAAGCCGAATCGTCGTGCACTGCATCTCACCAACAGCACGAAGTAAACCGCCACCCCGTCGGCGCCTCTACACGAGTGAAGGCGGGGCCAGCGTCGCCTCTTTGGGGCTGGTGGGCAAACTCTAGACTCTAAACCGTAAACCGTAGGTGATAAACCATAAATATAAACAAATTTGGCCAATTTCTTCAGTGTGACGACAAAGGAGGATTATTTTTCCTTTATTGGAAC